GGCGGCGGCGGGGCAACATGCCGGGCAGCGACACGGCGCTGGCCGTGGACAGGACGTACTCGGACCCGGAGCGGCACCGGCGCCGCAAGACGCGGGTAAGGGGCGTGAGGACACGGGGTGTTGGGGCTGCTCTCGGGTGTAGCCCACTAGTCTGCAGCGTGTTCTCCAAGAGGTCTCCGCGTTTGCTAGGTTGTCGGTCTGAAGGGGAGGGTTTTTCATCTGTGCTTCTTTCATATTCCTGCCGTAAATAGTCGTTGGTATGGGAAAATGAAATGAAACTGGTGTTGACATAGCAGAAACCGATGTTCAAGATATACCCACAGAAGAAACTGGTTGGAGGCGAGAGGAATAGAGGACTTACTCACCAAAGTCAACAGCGCTGATGACTTAATGAAGTGATTCTGTGTCTAGATCGCACTGGTGAATACTTGGGTTTGTTTCACAAGTTTTGTTTAATAAACTGTGGATCAGGTGATTGTACCTAGTAGCAGAGAATGATGACGGCTTCCTTCCTCAAGTTACTTACAAGAGGGCTGTGGCAGGGGTGGGGATCGACAGAAAAAGAGTGTGCTAGGGTTGAAGTAAGAATATACTGTATATCCATGATGTATGGTTTTATGGGACACTTTTTCTTACGGTCTGCTGGCAAGTTCATCTTTCTTTATCTTATTGTTTTGATGTTTTGTTCATATGATGTATGGTAAACATACATAAACAGTGCTCCTGATCCTTTTGTGTATTTAGTAGCCTTTGTGGTGAATGTTATGCTGATGAAGGCAGTTGGCTCTCTAGTTTATGCACAGATTTCGAATTCTTACCTAAATGCTCAGATCAAACAGGTGTGAAACAAACAGCTCTTTCTTCCCATGCCTGCAGAAAGAAGCAAAGAAGATTACTCCAGCTGACTGGAGATATCAACAGAAATTATGTCTTCTGTGCCAAGATGAGGTCCTGCACATGTCAATAAATGAGCTTTACAGTTTAAAGTGTAGGGATTAGCTATTTGTGAAGGAAGACTGTTTTTTGGGGGGAGGGTTCTTGTGTTTTTGTTTTTTTTTTTAATTTTGTTTTGGTTTGTCTTTTTCCTGTACTGCACATTAGCCATTCTTTCCATCCCTCCAGCCCATTAATTGGTAGTGCTGGAAAGGAGACAGCGTACTTCAGATTGTTGCTGTATAATGAAATGTTTTAGAATTAGGTAACCCTATACGCAGTACCTTTACTACTGGAATCTGCAATGCTCTTCATACCGTAAGCTGGGTCCGTATGCTGGTCATAATCCAGTTAAAAAAAAATATATGTATTTCCTTTGTTTTTCTCTTTGCAAGTTGAACTAGGTAGTTTTCCTTCATTGTTCTTGCTGTAAGAGTACTACGCTACCTAGCTTATTACGGCCATGGAAGAAAGTTGCATACCTTCAAGGATAATTTTTGTGAAGTTTTAGAGTTAAACCTGAAGCTTCTGCTCTATAGTCTAGCTGATCAGCTTAAAAGCATAAAGTATCATGGCTAGCATTCAGTGTTGCATATTGTGCTTGTGTATTGAAAAATTTAAAAACCTTCATGCTTAAGACCATTTTATGAAAGCTTTTCTCTGATTGTGGGTTTCTTTTCATCAGGATCAGCCTCTCCATCTCTTCCTGCAACCATGAGAACTGGAAATATAATACTGTAACAAGTTTGTAGAGTTGTACGGAATTGCATTGCTCCAGGGTTTGGGCATTACAAGTTTTGTCAGATATCACAGAACTTGTAATACAATTGATAGAGGTGGTAGCAGCAGGTTGTATGTTCCAGATGATGGCAAGAGCTTGCATTAAGTCCATTTTTGCTTATTCTGGACAAATAGGAATTTTTCCTGAGTAAATTGCCTGGATAATTTCAACATTCCTCTTACTGCTTTAACCAGGGAGATGGAAACGGTCAGGCACTGGAGCAGCAACAACTGATCATATTATGTAGGAAAGAAGCAAGAAAGCAGACTGCTATTTTTCTTTTACAGACTGAATAGAAAGCATCAGAGCCGCTGGAGCTAAAGCTGCCATTTCCAAACATTCATGGAGAAAAGCAATATGGAGCACCAACACAGCAATAGAGAGCTGATGGGGGAACGCTTGGGGAACCCAAACAAACCAGGCAGACTTTCTTGTGTGAAGAAGGTCTTGGAGTTGATTTTGGCAGCAGGATAGGGACAGTGTATATAGTAAGTAGAGTGAGATACATTTAATAAAGCCTGGGGGAAAGAGAGGTGTCAAAGTAGTGGTTGGATCTCACAGTCTGTGTAACCTAGGCTACTGAGCCTGGTTTTTGGGTAGGCAGGTTTTGAAGGACTTCTCCGGCCCTATAGGCTACTGCCTATGTCTTCCAAGCTCATCTAGGGATTTTTCTTACAAGAAAGTGAAGCTGCCTTTTCTTACAAGAAAGCAAACAGGCAAGAGGTCTGTTCCAAAATTGCAGCTGTATATGTGATAGGAAGGCATCACCAAATTCAGTTTGCAGAATTGCTAGAAGAACTTACTGTGAATAAAGCCGTCTGAGTCTGTAAATGGTAGAATCTGTGAGG